CGAGCAGGCGCCCAGGCTGGCGCTCGGGCCGGGTCCGGAGCCGGTTCCGGCCGCCGCCGGAAAATCGAGTTCCGAGGCGGCGCCGAAAAAAAGCCATTCTAAAACACATTTTTCTTTTGAAAATGCTAATTTCTGCTTCCGGCGCCCGGGAGGCCTCCCGGGCCGATTCCGACGCCCGGGCCGGCGCCCGAGCCGGCGCCTGGGCCGGACGCCCGAGCCGGCGCCCGGGCCGGCGCCCGGGCCGGGTCCGGAGCCGGTTTCGGCCGGCGCTGATAAATCGAGTTCCGAGGCGGCGCCGAAAAAAGGCAATTCCAATACACATTTTTCTTCTGAAAATGCTGAATTTCTGCTTCCGGCGCCCGGGAGGCCTCCCGGGCCGATTCCGGCGTGCTTCCGCTCGTTCCGAATCGTGCTCCCGCTGCAGCGCTGGCCTCATTTCCGCGCTTCCGCTCGTTTCGACTCGTGCTCCCGCTGCAGCGCTGGCGTCATTTCCCGTGCCATGCCACGGCATGCAATGCAATGCTAGGTTGATACTACGCTTTGCGGTGCTCTTCTACGCCATGCCATGCCGTGCTCTACAATGCATCGCGTACCCTTTCGGGATCATTGCCCTGCTCGACATCCGACTGTGCGAGTAGAGAGGGGATCTGCGCCATGGTAAGGGATGGGAGGGAGGGGTAGGATGTCAGATATGACGCGAGCGCACCTAGCTTGCCCCTCCCCCCCCCCTCCCCCTGGTCATCCTGCTCCTCCCGCTTCTCTCACTCCTGCTCCTGATGCTGCTGCGGTTGTGTCAGGTTTCTGTTTGTGCCGTCATCTGAAAACCACGGGGCCCGACGCTGAGTTGTGGCTGCGCATCCGCACCTTGATCCAGGAGGTGGGTGCACGAGAGTCGCACGATGAGGTTGTAGCGTAAGCCACATGCTATGCGTGAGCTAGCGAAATCATGCACGACTCACATGGCCCCCCCCACCCCCCCCATCTGCGAGAATACCTGAGTCGCCTGCACATGGGGAAGTGGCCCAAGTTGCTCAGCAAGGCTGAGCAGATCCAGAGGGCCATTTAATATTTCTGTAACGCTTACGTCGGATAGCCAGTTCCCGTTCCCGTTTTCCTGCTCCCCCGCCACCTCCTCTTCCACCGATGTGCACAGCTCGCCTGCTGTGATTGCGCATGACACAAAGGGGTCCTTTTCGGGGTTCCAAATCCGCTATGATACCTTTCGGCGGGTATAATAAACAACGCAATGGGAAAGGACGACAGGGAGAGGGGTAGGATGTCAGACATGGCGCGAGCGCACCTGGCTTGCCTCTCCCCCTCTCTCCCCTCTCCCTCTCCCCTCCCGCCCTCCCCCACCCCCCCTATCCACTCCTCCCCCCTCCCGGGCTCCCCCTCCCCTCCCCCTCCCCTGTCTCCCCTCTCCCTCTCCCATCCCACTCTCTCCCCTCTCCTTCTCCCCTCCCGCCCTCCCCCCTCCCCCCTCCACTCCTCCCCCCTCCCAGTCTCCTCCTCCCCTCCCCCCTCTCCTCGCCCTCGCTCTCTCTGGGTCATGGGCCGCCCAGCTCCCCATGGAGCGAGCCGTTCTCTTCCGTTCTCTTCCTCTCCCCTGGGATGTGAAGGGCCCGCATCCAATCGCTGCAGGGCCAACAGCGGGGGAGCGGGAGAGTGGGAGCTGATAGTCAGAAGGAACAAAGCCAGAGGTCGAAGTCGGAGAAGGGGGGCGACAATGAGGAGGAGCCGGGAGCCGGGAGGGGCGGCGAGAGAAGCACAGTGGGGAGTAGGAGAAGAATAGAGAGGAGGAGGAGGAGGAGGAGGAGGAGGAGGAGGAGGAGGAGGAGGAGGAGGAGGAGGAGGAGGGGGAAGAGGAGGAGGACGAGGAGGAAGGGGAGGAGAAAGAGGAGGAGGAGGAGAAGAAGATCGCGGAGGAGGGTGAGGAGCAAGATGATGATGCTCCTGCTGGTGCTGGTGATGGTGATGATGATGCTGCTGGTGGCGATGATGATGATGATGATGATGATGATGATGATGATGATGATGATGATGATGACGATGATGATGATGATGAATGATGATGATGATGGTTGTGGTGATGGTGATGGTGATGGTGATGGTGGTGATGATGATGAACATTGAGACGATGACTGTGATGATGCTGGTGCTGTTTATGAGAATGGTAATGCTGAGGATGGTGGTGGTGACGAGGACGATGATAACGAGAATGATGATGATGCCGATGCTGACGATAAGAATGATGATGACGAATCTGATTCTGATGATGATGATGACGACGATGATGCTGACGATGATGATGGTGATGACGACGATGATGATATTGATTATGATGATGACGATTATGATGATGATGATGATGATGATGATGATGATGATGATGATGATGATGTTGCTGCTGCTGATGATGATGCTGATGACGGCCATGATGCTAAGACATAGGATGCACTTGGGGGCTGATGATGAGGATGAGGAAGGATAACAATAATAGTAGGAGGCTATCGGCAAACAAACCCCTCTTCTTTAAACATCGATTGCGACCAGGTCGGCTATCCCCAGCTTCGACAGACAACGCCCACCAACATTGATTGCTTGGTCTCTACATGCTTAGTTTAACGTGGAGCTGCCAGTGAGTCTTGGCCCGAACGGCAAGTCTTTGCAGCGCGACTCATCCCGACCCCGACCAGCCCAGGAGCTCCTGCTGCAACATCCCTGCCTCCTCGCCTCTTCTCTTGCTCCTCCGTCAAGCGGCCGGGCAACCTCTGAAAGTTCGTGTCGAAGCCACCTGGAGGCAGGTGAAAGAGCAGGCAATCGACCCCGCCTCCTCCTCCTCCTCTTCCACCAACGCTCCCTAGTCGGTCCTCATGCTTCCATCGGGTCGTCGCGCTCGACTTCCTCTTGACTCATCGCCGGTTTCGCCGTGCTCCGTTCCCTGCTGTGCTATTCGCTTCACGCACATTCCTTGTCAGGGATACCTCTAGGGCTCCCAACTTCGCGCTTCGCGCTGCGCGAAGCGCGAAGCGCGAATAACTTCGCGCTCTCGCGCCGCCCCCCCAAAGGGAGAAAAGGAGGACGAGGAGGAGGGGGGAGAAGGAACGAGGACCGCGAAGCGCGAAGCGCGAATAACTTCGCGCCCTCGAGGGAGCCCTTGATACCTGGAAGCTTCTGCCAACCGCCTGGGCCCTGGCTGGCGGTCTCCCAGACACCATCATGCAGGACGGCTCCTCCCATAGTTCCTCCCCGCGCCACCTCCCTCTCCTCCTCCTCCTCCTCCTCCTTCTCCTTCTCCTCCTCTTCTTTTTTCCTCCTTCTCCTCCTCATCCTCCTTCTCCGCACGCGGGTGGGGAGACTTTATTTTTGTTCGCGAGCGCGCAGGGATGCCAGGCGCCGTCAATAAACGCGGCTAACAAGCAGCGGCCTAAATTCCGAACAAGAGCGCACAGGAGCGAGCTACGCTGCGGCTCAAGAGACGCGGTGAAACAGGAGGGAAACTCGGGTGGTGAGACGCGAAGCGTCAAGAATTCAGAATGTGAGCACGGTGGCCAGGGGAGCCCTGGTCTACACGGTGGGGAGCCATCGAGCCAGACATCTCCAAAATGGCGCACTCGGCCGTGCCGGGGGAGGCGCGCCCCGCGGCATCTACCCCTGTCCGCTCTTCCATAGATGAGGGTGGGTGGATGGGGAAAACGATTGCCTCTACCCCTGCTAAGAGTTGAGGCGATGTTACGCTGAGGAGCCGGCCTTCACTCCAGGCGTTTTCGTCAGCAGTAGTCCAAACAACTCCAAGAAAACGCTTAGGTTCCAGTCCAGAGTCTTGAATTCTTCAGCGAAATCTGGAGTCCATGAAAGTTGGGCGCTGACATGGCTGCGGAAACCGCACCCTCCGCATCTGACTTCCATTGCAGCGTAACCCATGGACGTGCAGGGTCACCCTACACTTCCGCCAAGTTCCGCCAAGACTCTGACCCCGCCAAGTATCCGCCACACCGTCTCCGTGACAAACTTAATTTTCTCGATTCTGCCTCACACGGCTGTCGTGGAAACAAGGCCGACATTCGGGGCATGCCAGCCCGAAGAACTGCTCACCCCTGCTGGCACGACTCGGCGATGCACAGGCCTTCCTACATGTCCGGCCGGCGGGGCAGGGCGGAGGAGGGGCCACTGGCAGCAGAGCCACCATACCATTTCGCCCATCGGAAAACCCAAACGTCAAGTCGAGATACCTGCGAGCCTCGCACAACACGCGACTAACTGTTGGTTTGCGGCGTCTACGGCTGGCGGTTGATGCCCAGTAGTTGGATGGTGGCCAGATGGGTCCTCCCCTCGTGGTCCCTCCCAGGGATCCGCTGGGACGGGGAGGAAAGACGGGTGGTGAGGTGAATGAAGCCATGATAAGGGATGTGAGGATGATGGGGGCTCCCCCGCACCGCGCCTGAAGGGCCGACTTGCCAACTCTTCGGTTTAGCTCGGATGCCGCGCCGTGGATCCCTCGCGCTGGATCCTCCCCCTCCTCAATCTCCGCCACCTACTCCGTGTGCTTTTCATCCGCCCGCTGCTGCTCCTCCTCCTCCTCCTCCTCCTTCCGCTCCTACTCCCTCTTGCTGCTGCTCCCTGCTCATCATTCTCCATCCCCCCCCTCCTCATAGACGTCGTAATCGCCGTCGACGTCGCTGGAGGGGGGAGGAAGGAGTGAGGAGAAGGAGGAGGAGGAGGAGGAGGAGAAGGAGGAGGAGGAGGAGGGGGAGGAGGTGGAAGAGGAAAGGGAGGAGGAGGAGGAGGAGGAGGAGGAGGAGGAGGAGGAGGAGGAGGAGGAGGAGGAGGAGGAGGAGGAGGAGGAGGAGGAGGGGGAGGAGGAGGACGAGGAGGGAGTACGAAGAACACTCCGAACGCCAACCGGTCGCTCCGCCCCTGCTCCCGGCGCGTCAACACAATTGGAGGCCGCCGACGCCACCGTAGGCTGCTGGCCGTGTTGTCGGAGGCGCCGGCGGACCCTGGGGAAACGGTCGAGAGGGAACGAGCGAGAGCTTGGAGGATCAGGAGGAGAGAAGGGAAAGACGAGCACAGGAGAGCAGTGATATCGGAGGGAGGAGGAGGGAGGAGGAGGACTGGAGCATGAGGAGGAGGAGGAGGAGGAGGAGGAGGAGGAGGAGGAAGAGGAGATGAGGAGTGCAAGGATGCGCAAGTGGGGAGGAGCTCGAGGAGGAGGAGGAGAAGGAGGAGGAGGAGGAGGAACTCGAGGAGGACGAATTCGAGGATGATGATGAGGAGGAGGAGTAGACGGAGAGTAGGGAAAGGGGGAGGGGAAGAAGAACTCGGAGAAGTGGGATGAAAGCGAGGGGAAGGGCGATGCAGAGGAGGATGTGAATGATGGCTGAAGGGAGGGAACATCAGGAAATAATAGGACAACCATAACAACACCGAAGGCAACAGTGCCAGCCGTGAAAGCAAGTCTGGACATCCTGCTTCACCTTCATCGGTCCTCCTGCAAGCCTACTTGTGAGGCCGCTCACGTCACGAGTGGTCCCATTGTAGGACCACCAATGGACGACAAGTGGGAGCACAGTGGAACGACTTCAACTCCAGGACCAAAGGGGATGAGAGGGAGGTGAGGAAGAGTGATGACGATGAGGGAAAGGATGCGCTTCATATGGGAATGGGTGAGGAAGAAGAGGATGATGATAGTTAGGCGGACGATGAGAGTGATCAGCGGGGTGAGGGTCAAAGTGGGTGTGCGAGTTAGTCGTCTTTCCAATTCCGTTATGTTCCTGCGGTGTATGTGTGTGTGTGCGTGTATGTGTGTATGTGTGTGTGTGTTTGTGTCTGTATGTGTGTGTGCGGCCCCGCTTGACTTGCCCTACGCCGCGCTGCCGCGCGCGTGGCTGCGAAACCATACACATATCCATAAATGTTCACACAGGTATGTATATGTATATGTATGTACAAACATACGCGATTACATGTTTTATATATAGATATGTATGTATACACAACTACATTGACACTTCGCGCCATGCACCTTGGTCCTTCACGTCTACCACGCAGGCATAATGCGAGAGAGGTAGATCAATTCGCCGGGCCAACGGGCCAGGGCGTGCTAAGATCTCCGGTAACTGGTTAACAATATTTCTAGTTCGCGCGCGCGGAGCGGCCCCTGGGGCCCCCCAGACGAAAAGCACCCCGAGTTTGAAAGGGGTTGGGAAGCCCAACCAGCAGGTTCGCCTCAGGCGAAGCCCAGCTCCAGCTCTGTTGTATCGTAGTAGCGATAATCCCAGTAGTAGGAAGTCGTCGCGGGAGCGACGGGCCATCTCAAGCGAAGGATGCGTTCAGTCTCGATGGCGAATGGTACACCTCGCACTGAGGTGTAGTCAGATTTGAGCGGCCGGCCGCTTGAGCACAAACGGCCGTGGACACACGCTCGTTACCTCTCGTCTGTATCCCAGCTAACTTCAGAGTCGGGGGGGGGAGGGAGACGAAACGTGAGTCCGCCGTTTCTATACAGCAGGTACAGCAGCTACTGTGTACAAAGGGGCAGCACAAGGGCGGGGCCATAAGGAAGGTGGACCCGCGCGCAAGTTGCCTTGCCTGCACCTTACTGTGCGTACGAGTACTCCTCAGGCGGCTGCAGACCGAGATGTCTGACCAGCCCGATCTGGAGCATGACGCTTTAAGTTATGTTTGAAAAATTGCGTACCTCCCATGACCTGTAAGAGCATGAATCCGTCGATGCTCCCCTTGGTGTGACCGTCCGCGGTCATATCGGGGGTGTCACACCATTGAATACTGTGCACGATTCCTCGCTCCATCATCTGTCCTATCCAGCTGATGAAAGGGTACACTCAGTCGGCTTCTTCAAGTCTTTGCTTGACAAAGACTTTAAACCTTATTCAGCATATATGGCCAAAGTGGCCTTGATGTTCAGGCTACCCAACTCGAGTACGTCTTTCAAGTGAGTGGGAGCTAACAGCCCTGCGTGGAGCTCGTGCAGAGTCACGATCGTGGGATAGCAGTCCTCCAAGTTGCGGGTTGCTGCTAGTGTCTCTGCTGAATAGCTCGAGCAGGCCTGTTAGCGGTGAGATTTGCAGTACGCATCGATCAAGTGAACGACAGGCTTGCCAGATGGCGTGCTTCCACGCAGTAGCAGGCTTGCTCCGCGAATACCATGGCCTTCGACTTCGTCATCGGCATGTCCACTCAGGCGTCGATAACCTGAGTCGCTGTGCAGGTCAACTTGGCCCGTGGGAGTCGTCGCTTGGTAGACGGTCTTCCTAGGGCAGGCCTGCGGTTCCCTGGTAATCGCGTTCAGTCGTCGCACTTGTATGTCGGTCGGTCCTTGGACACCTTGTAGAGAGACAACATATACCATCAACCACACCTCCATGTCTGCAACTATCTTGGATGCTTGGGCGTCAGCGTCGGCGCCGGTAAGTTCAGGATGTTGTATAAGACGGAGCTGTTATGTATTCGTCCTGGTCCAACGTAACACTGTCGTTCATACCCTTTGTACATTTCACAGCACAGTTGGTGCATGTGTGCTTGTTGAATTTACACATACCAAAGTTGCCCCCACGCGCTAGTCGCACTTGTCAATGGTGCCCTCTGTGCCGGCCATAGCGATGTCATCAACATGTTTGGCCGTGAGCAGGTTGCTGCTCGTCCCGAACTCCTTGTCGTAGGACGTGGGTCTGGGACCGAAGCCTCTCGTGTCCTTCTGAGCTTCAGTGAGAAAGCTCGAGGTGCGTCCTTGGTACCAGTGCCTGGCTTGAGGCACTGCAAGCAGTGCTTCGACTCGTCGTAGTGCTCGAGTCCTGGGAGAGTTCGAAGCGCCGTAGCCAATCCAGGCGGCAGAGTAAAGCACGCCACGCTTTCTATCTCACCAGTTGCCTCTGTAAGTTCCTGGTAGGTCAACCCTTTAAGGAAGGCCATGTTGATGTCGGGGAAAGCAATGATCCATTGCTTTTTGCACGCTGCCGTGCTTGCGAGTAACCTCTGGATTGGCCGCCGTGCTGTTCCTGAGGTCGTTTCCACGTCGAAGGCTTCAAGTCCCATGAATCCCCGAAGCACCAGGCGCAATCTGATGGTGCGTTCCATCTCGCCCTTCTCGTTCTTCACAAACTTCAATGTGTACACGCACCTCGAAGCCATGATGGTTGACGCTTTAGATAGATCTTGCAGTTTGAAACACTCGTTGCCAAACCATGTGTTGAGTTCAGTGTGTATAGGGCTGGCGATACTCTTTCGGGATTCGCCCGGACGTCAGCCTTCGCGAGGAGGTCGCCCTCCTTGACGACCGCGCCTTGCTTTGCAGCGGCGGCAATATATACTCGCATGGCGGCGCCACGGTCGGCATCTAATATCCTGCGCTGTTGTTCGGGTAGGACTACCTTCGAGATTTCTGCCTTGAAGCAGAGTTCTACATATTATTCGTTTTCGTCTGAATCCAGTCCATAACTGTCATCTTCGACCGTGGAGCACAGTGGGGTATGATACGTCTCCTCGACGTCGGAGTCGCGTGGGTGCCCCCACTTAGGCAGGTGCCCCCGCTGTTCTTCAGCTACAACGATCAGCACGCTGTTGTCTGGAACCATCCGTGTGGGTACTGTGAAAAGGTCCTCTAGTGGAGTTGCCCCCCAGTAGTTGACTTTCATCTTGTAGTTCAGTACACCGCACTTCCATAAAAAGTGCCTCGCGGTCAGCCTCCGATTCCTCACATGTCGTGGGAAGCCGCCCATCCTCCTGTGGTGGCTCGGCTTCTGGGGCTTCCCTTGCGGTTCCGTCCTGTGTCGGTATCTCCGCCCATCCCTCGAACTTTGTCATATCCTTGTCGAAGCCCGCTTGAGGTTTGGTGGACTTCAGGCACTGGGTGAGTCTTGAATGTGCTGATCTAGTTATATCGTGAATGTTAAGAGTGGCGCCTTCTGCTTCATAACAGTGATATCCTGGACTCACATGGTTGTCATAGTGGACCAATGTGCAGCTGTCAGCGGAAGCCACCGGAGGTAGCTTGTGGATACTCTTGGCTAACCCAACAGAAACTACATTCTCGATGCGGAAGAAGTTTCTGATAAGGCATTGTAAAGCCAGAGGTACCTTTGGAGATAATCGGCTTGCACTGGTCATCTGAAGCGTCCCCTTCTTGGTCGGGACATCGCCAAATGTCATAGCAGGTCTCCCCGCAGGTAAACTGGCCACGAACGTCAACACTGTCCGTAGTGCAGTGTTGTCGGAGCCAATCTCTCTGGCTATCAAAGCTTCAATATAAAGTGAATGTCGTGCATCGCCGCATTGTGCCTGAACGTCGCGGTTTTCAACTCGAATGATGACTTGACCCCTGTCGGGGCTGTTTCTTACGACCGGGAATGGGCCATTCCAGCCTGCCCAGTCGTCCTTCGTGGTTGTGGGGCGATGGTAATCAACGAAATCTCCTTCATCGTAGTAGTGCTGACTGGTGATAGTTGGTCTTGGCTTCTGCAGTGGCCTGTGTGATAGCTTCAATGCATACCTTGCGTATCATCTGCTCACGAAAATGATCCGACGTCTCCGTCGGCTGTACGTGATCCAGGATAGGCATTGTCAGGGAGCATTGCCGGTTGCCGTCCAAACAGGGCGCTGTATGGAGACACCTCATGATACAGGGTGAACGCGTTGGCGGCAAACAAGGCTTCATGCAGTAGTCGTGTGAACACAAGAGGTGTGTCTAACCTGTTGAGTTCGGCTTCCATGACATGAAGTATATGGCGCAGTATGCCATTTCTGGCTTCGATCGTCGTAGCACGTTGTCCACGCGCACGTATCCTTAGTTCAATGCCCTTCGCCTTAAGGACTGCTGTCGCAGGGTCGTTGTTGAGGGCACCCTCTCCATCGGAGTAGAGTACCTTTGCAGGTCCAAACTGCATCCAGCACTCATGGTACGCATCCAGGATACTGGTCATTGTCTTGTCCGATATCTCCATTCCAGTAGCATAGCGAATGCAACGATCGATGCTATGAAATA